GTCTCACTGTGTCACCCAGGCTGGAGAGCAGGAGTGTGATCTCAGCTCACTGCAATCTCCACCTCCTGGGTTCAGACAATCCTCCTGCCTCAGCCTCCTGAGTAACTAGGACTACAGGTGTGCGCCACTACCCCTGGCTAATTTTTGTATTTTTGTAGAGATGGGGTTTCACCATATTGGCCAGACTGGTCTTGAACTCCTGATCTCAAGTGATCTGCCCGCCTCGGCCTCCCAAGATGCTGGGATTATAGGTGTGAGCCACTATGCCCAACCCTTTGCTGGTTTCTTAAGTGAAAAATTGGTATATTATTGTTGGAATGCATGGCTTTTTTTTTGTTTTGCTAAATTCAGTACCAGTACAATAAAAGGAGAGACAAGAGAACCTACCTCTACATGAGAAGACTTAAACAGAGTATAACTTTATTTTTTTGAGATGGAGTCTTCCTCTGTTGCCCAGGCTGGAATGTAGCCGTGTGATCTTGGCTCACTGCAATCTCCACCTCCCTGGTTCAAGCGATTCTTCTGCCTCAGCCTCCCAAGTAGCTGGGACTACAGGCGTGCGCCAGTACGCCCGACTAATTTTTTGTATTTTTAGTAGAGACGAGGTTTTACCATGTTGGCCGGGCTGGTCTTTCAATTCCTGACCTCAGGCGATCCACCCACCTCGGCCTCCCAAAGTGGTAGGATTACAGGCATGAGCCATCGCACCTGGTCTGTTACAGCTTTAAAAGTACGCATTTCAGAGCATAGTCTACATTTACTAGGAGCCTCTTGTTAAATTAGAATGAGTTCACATTATAGTTTTAGATGGAAACTGCCCTTGAGTGAAACCCAATTTCTGCTTGCAACATGCTCTTGGGTTTTGGACCATGGGAGTCCAGGGGCCGGGACAGCCTGTCAGTTGGTGGTGAATGTGACTGTATGTCCAGGCATGTTTGGGAATGAGGCCGGCAGCTTCTCTCTCTGAAGAATTGAAACCTTTTACTGCCCTGATCTCTTTCTCCCCAAATCTGTGAACTTCTTTTGCGGATGATTTGGTTCACAGGGTCAGAGCATGCGCTCTAACTGCATTTGGGGGCCTGCTCTTTCAGAAACCATCAATAGCTGTCTCACAAAACATCTGGAACAGCTGAAGGCCCCTGTGGGGTCTCTTTCGGACATCTTTGGAAACCTGCATCTTGACTCATTGCCAGATGAGTCAGATGTGGCCCCTGATTCTATCCCAAGAGAGACCCTGGTCACAGGAACGTGCCATTTGAAGTGTGTGTGTTACGGCATTGGGAACTTTGCCACCTGCATCATAGCTAGAAACCAGCTAACGTTTTTGCTGCTTTTGTTGGAAAAGTGCCAGGTACATTTTTGGATTCATTTTCATCTCCTCCTCCTCTGGTCTTATACACGGGTGCACACAGATGTTTGGGTTGAAGTAAACAACTCATTCTTCCCTTCTAGATTCCCAGAAGTCACTGTTGGGTGTATGACCCTCTGTTTAGCCAACTTGAAATTGAAGTACTGAACACCCTTGGTGTGACTGTTCTCAGTGAGAATGAGGTAAGTGGTTTAAAGGGGAGCAGACAGGGGTATAAAAATCCTGACCAGACTCACCCCAGGCTCTGCCTGTTAAACACCAGCATTCTTTGCAGTGGCAGCCATTCCTCTCTTACTGCCTGCTCACTTTTGTAGTGTCTGAACGACGTAACCAGCCAATCAGTTACCTCCATTTTGGCTTGTGTTGTGCCCATCAGAAAAAAATTACACAGATGGCATGAACCAGAACACGTTAGGTCTGAACCACTTTTGTGAGAATTATTTGTCTGGAAATTATGCTAACTTGGTATTTGCTGTTGCTATTGAAAAATAAAGATCTAGGTGCCTCAAGCAAGGTCTTTCTGGTTGGATTCTACCCTGTCCCAGGGAGGTAGTAAAAGGGGTTGCAGCATTCCTCTTTGATGCTATAACCCAGTCAAACCCATAGCACCTGGCTGTGAGTTGTGGATTAATTCTCTGCTCACATTTGCACGCCCCAAAATAGCTGGGATTTGACATTTCTGAGACCTGTGGAATAAAGAAATGCATCCCTCAAGCACAGGGACAAAGCCAGTATGAGCAAATCCCTCCGATTTCGGTTTTATATTGTCTTAGGGATTAGAATCATTTGATTCCTGTGTGTGTCCTGAAACTGCCATCTTATTGCTTATGTGAAAATTTGGCTCAGTTGAGAGAAGAGTCATTCCCTGATATTGGCAAGGTCCTAAAACACTGTCACTCAGTTCAGATCATCTTTCTGGGTGCCTGCTCTGTGCTAGGCAGGGAGCTTTGGGGAGACCAAAAAAAATGGGAGCCAGTCCCAGTGTTCAGGGAGCCCGTGGTCACATCAGGGCATGTGACCTGTAAACAAGTGAATGAGGAGTGAAATAGTGAGGCAGAACCTTGTACTAGGAGCTGAGACAAGAGAGGTGTTTGGAGGGATGGAGGAAGGATTCCTGGGTCTGAGCTGGGCTTTGAAGGTCTACCAGGAGTTTGCTAGTGGGACAGAACCAGGATTGCAGGTAGCTGTGCAGTGCTGGCTGTTCAGGAAACCACTGCCAGTTTGTTATTAATACAAGGGAAGCTGCAAGAAGACGAGAGGCAGGCCAGAGGTGGGCAAGGGTCAAAGGGCCTTATGTTCCCTGCTAGAATTTGACCGTAGAGCAGTGGTTCTCAGGAGGGGTGATTGTGCCTCAGGGACATTGGAAGAGGACTTAGTTATACAGATCTGCAGGAAGTGACACAGGAAGTGTGGATTACCGAACATGGGGGAAATACATGGGGTAAGTAACATCACTATCCCTCCTGTCCTTGCCGTCATAGACCCAGGAAGCCCCTCTGTTAGTGTTCATGAGACTTTCTGTTCATGAGACACACATTTGTTAAGTAAACTTGAGTTCTTTCGGGACATCATGATCTCCTGACTCTAGTTCTGTAACTGTATAGATTTCATATACGAGTGTAACTGTTCCACAAAATGAGCTCTTTTCCATTTGATCCTTTAGTTTGTCTCATGATTAACCCCATCCTTACCTCTCCCTCACCTTACTGTAAATAATAGGTTGTGAGCATGTTTACACCTGTGAATATCTTACCCCCAGGAAGGAAAACGGAGTATTCGCGGGGAGCCTACCATCTTTTACATGCTCCATTGTGGGACAGCCTTGTACAACAATCTTTTATGGAGTAACTGGTCAGTAGATGCCCTTTCTAAGATGGTCATCATTGGGAACAGTTTCAAAGGACTTGAGGAGAGGTAAGTCTGAGAATGCTGAGATTCTGTCAGGCCCTGAGGTGAAGCCCATACCTCAGATTGACCTGCACACAGAAAACGTTTCCTTGATGATTCCATACTGGGGAAATGCTTTTCCATAGGGAACAGGATGAAGGCTTAAATACAGGAGATGTCAAACCCCGATTCAAGCTATGAAGCAAGTTAAGGAGTCTTTTTGCCACGAATTCCTCCCTTCCATTGTGATACACAGAAATGGTTTTGAAAACAGGGAAAAGCTATTTGATTCCTCTGCTTACAGCTCCACATCCTCATTCTGTTCCACAGTGCTTAGGAGTCTGCTCAGTCATTTCTCTTGATGAAATGGGCACAATTACTGGAGTACTTGCTTTTTTTTTTTTTTCTTTTGAGACGGAGTCTTACTCTGTCCCCCAGGCTGGAGTACAGTGGTGTGATCTCGGCTCACTGCAACCTCGGTCTCCTGGGTTCAAGCGATTCTCCTGCCTCAGCCTAATGAGTAGCTGGGATTACAGATGTGTGCCACCACACTCGGCTAATTTTTATATTTTTAGTAGAGATGGGATTTTACCATGTTGACCAGGCTGGTCTTGAACTCCTGACCCCAAATGATCCGCCCCGCCTCAGTCTCCCGAAGTGCTGGGATTACCCGTGCCTGGCCCGCATTTTCAACTATTTAACTGGTTTACTCCACATCTCGAGTTTTTTCCTAATTCTTCCTATGCTTCAATCATCTTGCCTTTCTGTGTCTTAAGTTGAATGAAACGATCCTCATACCTCCTAATCATGGTTTTTTTTTTTTTTTTAAATTTCTAGGTTGTTGGCAAGGATTCTGCAGAAAAATTATCCCTACATTGCAAAGGTATCTATCTGAATAAAGGGGCTGGGATGGAAAAGGGTGTGAAACTGTGAAGAATTCTATCTTTACAGGCGTAGGAGGAAACTCAGGGGCTAAGTGGCACTAGTGTACTGTCAGCTCTCTCCATGGGTCTGTGTTCCAGAAAGCTATGACTCTTTAATGCATCTCTTAGTTTTTTCCTTATTTCCTTTATTTTTATTCTCAGTATCACAGTCCATGATACCCACTGTCCTTGGGGCGCCCAATTCATTGTGCAAAAGCATTTAAATTGAAATATCCTATTTGTTATTTTTTTAAAAAGGAAAGTGGGGATGACAAGTAAAATGGAAATTTCTCCCAGAAGTGTGGGGATTACTGTGACTAGCTAAAGTTTTCACACTTGAATTTTTCTGCTCAGATTTTAAAAGGACTGGAGGAGCTTGAGTTTCCTCAGACTTCACAATACATGGACATATTTAATGATACCTCTGTCCACTGGTTCCCCGTGCAAAAGCTAGAACAGCTCTCCACAGATATTTGGGAGTTTCAGGAAGAACCAGATTATCAGGACTGTGAGGACCTTGAAATCATCAGGAACAAGACAGAAGATCCCTCCGCTACTGACTGAACTCACTGTGAGGTAGTCAGTGTTGGCTGAGGTAGAAGCTGCCACCGGAGACTAAAGGGAAGGCTGCCATGGAGGAACTACAGAGAACTCCTTTGCCAGGAAAGAACATCAACTTGGCTGTCTTGTTTTGAGGACGATACCCCCCATGAGGACTTGGTATAAAGATTCCTGCACTGCTAAGTGGCATTGTCCCGCTTTACATCCTTCCCTCGTGACCTGGCCCAATGTGGAGTAGCTCCTGAGTAAAGAAGTTACGCTTTTGAAGGTGATCTAAAATACTGTTTATTCACAACACATCCCTCTCAGGGGCAAGTCTCTGGCTGGCTCTGGGCCTGCCACAGTTCACTTGGCCATGTCGATCAGGCTCTGCAGTGAGGTGGGCACCCATGTCTTCTCGCCCTGGACAAAGACCACTCCCCGGTCGATGTAGATCACAATGCGGCCAAAGGTATAGAGCTGCTTCCCTTCGTGTCGCTTCCCGATGACGGGCATGAAGACAATGTTGTGCTCCTCAGCCTTGGTCTCAATGAGGTCCTTAAAGTTCATGGGCACAGAGCTGGCGGCCACGCCAATGCCCCTCTGGGCCATGTTCTCAGCCTCCCGCCTCTCCTGCATGGCTTCGTACTGGAAGTCCTTCCTCCGCTCCGTGTGGGTGAGATAGGCAATGTTCTCCCGCGCTCCTGGCTGCATGTAGGCACCTGAGAGATACAGGAGGACAGGGCAGTGAGGAGAGGTGTTTCCAGGTGTATGGAAGTTGACGCTGACTTGGCCCAGGTCTGGGTGTGCCAGAGTGCTTGTGACTCACTGAAGGGCAGTTCTGCCTCAAAGATACAACTTTGGAGGAAGTTTAGACAACTGGCCAGTATCACATAAAAACTGTTCAGAAGGTTTCTGGCTAGTATCTAGTAACCAAAGAGATTATTAAATATTCAACATTTAAAAATGAAGTATCTGTAAGGGATTTCTTCTTTCAGAGCTGGAAACAGCAGAGAGTCCTCAGCCACTCTCCTGTTTCCACCTTGCCCTGTAGAGTTTCCACTTCATACCACCAAAGAGGCAGCTTTTAGTACCTTGAAAATATAGGCCCACACTGGCTTTATTTTTAACCTACCCACACAGGCCCCACATCCTGAAAGGAGTTCACGTATATTTGAGGAGCTGAAATTGGTGTTTAAGGATAATACAAGACCATAAATGCTAAGTGCTCACTGAGGGGTATATACAGGGAAGAGTTTTGGAAACATGAGGCCAGGGGTAGCTAAGGAAGAGTTTTTAGAAAGAACTTGATAATTACGGAAGCAGAGAAGTATATTTGCCTTATTACTTAATCTCTGTTTTCACAGAATAGGCTATTTTTTCTTTTTTTCTTTTCTTTTTTTTTTTTTTTTTGAGACAGAGTCTCTCTCTTGTCGCCCAGGCTGGAGTGCAGTGCTTGCAATCTCCACCACTCACTACAACCTCCGCCTCCCAGGTTCAAGTGATTCTTCTGCCTCAGCCTCCTGAGTAGCTGGTGTTACAGGCATGTGCCACCACGCCCGGCTATTTCTGCATTTTTGGTACAGATGGGGTTTCACCATGTTGTTCAGGCTGGTCTCGAACTCCTGACCTCGTGATTGACCCGCCTCGGCCTCCCATAGTGTTGGGATTAGAGGCGTGAGCCACGGCGCCTGGCCTAGGCTAACTATTAAATAACAAGAATTAAAGACTCAGGGAATAGAAATTCTAGTTCTAACTGCCACCCTTTAACTATGTGACCTTGAACAGGCTCTTAGCCTCACTGGGCTTATCTGTGAAACAGACTAGATGATCCCATTTCAATGCTGTGAATCGGCTAATGAGCAACACTGGAGCACAGGACTGGTTGAAATAGGCTCCCAAATGTAGAAACATAAACATACTTTCATTTACTTATGATCTAGGCAGAATGACTTGCCTAGAACTTGGGAATAGATATAGTACATGAACAGTGAACTGCCTGTTTTTGACAACACGGACACCACCTATTGAAGGCTACACACAAGCATGAACTCAACCCCCTTTTAGCCTATGAAGTAGATCTTACTGTTTAACAGGTCAAATGGGGCTGATGAAGGCTGAGCAATCACCAAGTGTAAGACCGTGTACCCAACTCCACACTGTAAGATGTGTGACCTGAGCAGCATGTTCAGGGCTGAATGAGCCTTAAAAGGCCACACAGCACAGTGGTTAAGAGGGTGGGGCCTGGGGTTAGACTGACATCTGAATCCAGCTTAAGTCAGTCTCCTTAGGGAAGATGCCCCTCTCTGTCATGGTAGACCTGGGCAGTGGGTGCCAGCTGACCATGTACCCCAATCAGCAGAGTGAGAGTCTGTTGCTGTGGGCAAAAGTGTGACCTAAGGTTTAGGCTGCCTACAGGAACCAGAAAACTCTGATTCTGTGTCATTTACATGTGTGAAATCTGAAGCTCAGGGCCAGGACATCCAAAATGGGAATCCTCACTTACCAACATTGGAGGACACTGCCCGGTTCATGATATCAAGTGCCTCGTTAAATTTGTCCTTGACAGATGGATGTGCCAGCACTTGGTCTGAGAACATAGACTTCCAACCCAGGTACCACTTGGTGATCTCCTCATAATTTGGGCTGTTACTGAGCCAAGAGCACAGCACCTGCCAAAAAGAAAAATTACTTGCATCCATGGTGGCAACAAATGAAGGCAAGATTTCCGAAGGGGCCATTTGTTTTGTTTTGATCCTGGTCCTGCAGGCTAGTGACACCACTTTACAGGGATTTATAGTAGCTAAACAGTCTAGGACTTATGAATATGGATTTTGGAGTCAGCCTGGTAGCTAAAGTGCCCTTGCGTGTAAACTCTCTGAGCTCCGCTTCCATGTCTACACGACAGGGATACCATAGCCCCTACCCCATAGGGTTGCTGCGAGGAGCTGAGATAAAGCAAATAAAGTGCTTGGAACAGCTTCTGATACGTAGCAAATGTCCAATAAATGGTGCCCACTATTAAGATGACCTAACTCATTCCTACCCTACCATGTAATTCATTTTTATTATGGAATTGTACCTACAGTCAGGCCTCGGCAGAAAATTAACTTAATCCCCACCCAGTTCCCTCCCCCAGAAAGCCAAGCAAAACAGTGTACCTGAAGCCACTTGGGGAAGAAATGCTTTTCAAGAAGTCCCACCAGACTAGAGACAGAGATCATCCCTTCCCAGTCGATCACCCAATAGAATGCATCCATGTGCTGCTGGTGGGGGTTAATGACTAGCTCACCAAGACACATCCCTGGAAGAGAAACCCGGTCTATAAGGCACAGCTTTAGTACCGGCAAAGCCACAGAAGCACAAAGAGCAAAGATAATGTCCGTTTTCATCTCAGCTCACAACAACCTCCACCTCCTGGGTTCAAGTGACTCTTGTGCCTCAGCCTCCTAAGTAGCTGGGAGAGCTGGGAGTACAGGTGTGCACCACCGCGGCCAGCTAATTTTTGTGTTTTTATTAGAGACAGGGTTTTGCCATGTTGCCCAGGCTGGTCTCAAACTCCTGATCTCAGGTGATCTGCCACCTCAGCCTCTCAAAGTGCTGGGATTACAGGCATGAGTCACGGCTCCTGGCAGTTTTTTTTTTTTTTTTGAGACAGGGTCTCACCGTTGCCCAGGCTGGAGTGCAATGGCAGATCTCAGCTCACTGCAACCTCTGCCTCCCAGGTTCAAGCCATCCTCCCTAGTAGCTGGGACCACAGGCACATGCCACCACAGCTGGCTAGTTTTTGTATTTTTGGTAGAGATGGGGTTTCACCATGTTGCTCAGGCTTTAATCTGCTTTAAAGGTCAAATTTAAGCTCCTGACATAGCAATTCTTAAATATATATATATATATATATTTTTTGCTAACCCAGAAATAACTCCCTAATAATTTAGAATAAAATACCACAAAAATTTCAGAACTCCAATGGCTGTCCTGTTACCAGAAGCCAAAGCCAATCAGGAAAACCACAAGGCACAGAGTCCGATGTTGTTACTGTCAACTATTAGTCACTGCTGTAAATAAACAGTGGAAAGGACCCAAGTTACATTTATGTTCAGCCTCTGAACAGCAAGGAATATTGTGTACTAAGCACTTTCATGAATACAAAGGCTATGCTTTAAATCACCACTGACCACAGAAACCAGGGCACCAAAGCTGCTGGGCTTGGACTGCATTTTCCCCATATCCTTACCCAGCTTGGGCACTATGTTTTTGACCATGAATGCTTCCCAAGAGCCAGGAGTGAAGACATCCTTCCAGGGCTGGAGGATGAGCTTGGCAGAGGAGTCGCTGGGGTGCCACTTCTGCAGGGCGCTGGACAGCTTGCTACGGATGGGGGAATAGAGCGGCTCCAGCCGTGCCTGCATAAGGGGCAACCATGGGTGGATCCAAGAGTGGATGGGAACAGTGTCTGTGAGCGGGTTCCAGTTTTCCACCTGCAACGTGGGGAGAAGAAACAAAAGAAACAGTTCATGTCGCCTGTTGGGCAGTCACATAACACCCGTGTGGTTAAAGGCAAGAGCTGCCCCTGGAGGAGGCCCCATGCTCTCCAAGGCCCATGGTCCTTTGTACATCGCCAAACAAATATGCCCATTCATTTGATTACATCTCAGAAATAGCATAATTCTAATTTTAGTGAAGAAATCAAGAAAATGAATTCCCTCCTGAGGGTGGCTTGGGGGGAAAAGTGCTGAGAAAAAGGCTGGAATTAACACTCTAGGTCAACAGTTGTGTTGACAAATTCTGTTAATTCTAGGCATTTTAACAGCACTGAGATAATGAAGACATAGACTGAACAAGTCCCTGTAGTTAGTGATGATAGCTGTTCCTGTGACTCTCACCCCACCTCCTTTTGCAGCTTGGGGAAGATGAGTTGGTCCAGTATGTTATCTAAGATCCACACAGGAATGATGTGCACCCAACTATCCAAAAAGTCCACCATCGGGTCACAGTTCCTTGGCTGCCACTGAGTGACAATATTTCGAACAAAAGGCATCCAGACTTCCCATATCAACCTATGGGAGAAAGGCAAAGGACAGGCTGGTTAATTACACTGATTGGTTTCAAAGAACACCACCACCGCCCACCTCTCTAGAATCAGAAATAAAAATGCAACAGCATGGAAATCCGATCAGAGGAAACCATCAGGCCAGTCACCATGCTGGCCAGACCTGAGCCTGCTTCTTCCTTGTTCTCGTGACTCTCCTCTAGAACAGGCCTTGGTCTCGTAGGCAGTGCCCCCCCCCCCATCTGGCAGAGCTGCTTTAGGGTCACAAGGGTCTCTTCCTAGGTATCAAGTGCTTTCCCACCTATAGGCTTCTATTCATGAGCTGACATCTCTCACCCTCTGATCACAGTTTCAATGTCACCTCCTCTAAGATCTCTGTCCTAACCCCCATTCCAAGGAGGTCGCTCCTGCAGTTTTCTATCGCTGTACCTGGTGTGCATCCTGCCTTTATTTGTTCACTACCTTATTTCCCATCTGCCTTTTCTGCTGTACTATAGACAGAGGCTGTCTGCTATACTAGGGTAAGCCCAGCACCTAGCACAAGCATGATATTCAACAGACATTTGACAAGTGTCAGCTGAATTCATGGCCAAATGTAATTGTACAACCACTATGGAAAACAGTGTGGAGATTCCTTAGAGAACTAAAAGTACAACCATCATTTGATCCAGCAATCCCACTACTGGGTATCTACCCAGAAGAAAAGAAGTCATGGCTGGGTGCGGTGGCTCACGCCTGTAAACCCAGCACTTTGGGAGGCCAAGGCAGGCAGATCATGAGGTCAAGAGATTGAGACTATCCTGGCCATCATGGTGAAACCCCGTCTCTACTAAAAATACAAAAGTTAGCTGGACATGGTGGTGCATGCCCGTAGTCCCAGCTACTTGGGAGGCTGAGGCAGGAGAATTGCTTGAACCCGGGAGGCAGAGGTTGCAGTGAGCCAAGATCACGCCACTGTACTCCAGCCTGGCGACAAAGCGAGACTTCATCTCAAAAAAAAAAACACAAAAGAAGTCATTATATGAAAAAGATATTTGCTCACACAAGTTTACAGTAGCACAGTTCACAACTGCAAAAATGTGGAACCAACCCAAATGCCCACCAATCAACGAGTGGATAAAGAAACTGGTATATGTATATGTAATGGAATATGACTCAGCCATAAAAAGGAATGAATTAATGGCATTCGCAGCAACCTGGTTGGAATTGGAGACTACTATTCTAAGTGAAGTAACTCAAGAATGGAAAACCAAACATCTTATGTTTTCACTCATAAGCGGAAGCTAAGCTATGAGGATGCAAAGGCGTAAGAATGACACAATGGACTTTGGGGACTTGGGGAAAGGGTGAACGGGGTGAGGGATAAAAGACTACAAATTAAGCCAGGCACGGTGGCTCACGCCTGTAATCCCAGCACTTTGGGAGGCCAAGGCGGGTGGATCACGAGATCAGGGGATGGAGATCATCCTGGCCAACATGGTGAAACCCTGTCTCTACTAAAAATGCAAACATTAGCTGGGTGTGGTGGTGCGTGCCTGTGATCCCAGCTATTCGGGAGGCTGAGGCAGAAGTGCTTGAACCAGGCAGCTGGAGGTTGCAGTGAGCTGAGATCACGCCACTGCACTCTAGCGTGGCGAAAGAGTAAAACTCCGTCTCACATAAAAAAGACTACAAATTGGATTCAATGTATACTGCTCAGGAGATGGGTACACCAAAATCTCACGAATCACCACCAAAGAACTTACTCATGTAACCAAATACTACTTGTTCCCCAAAACCCTGTGGAAATAAAACATTTCAAAAAAATAAAATAAAAAATAAAATAAATTCATGGCCAAATGAATTTAAATTCCTAAAGCGGTGTCAGCATGAGCAGAGAATTAATCAAGGCTAGCACTGCTGCCTTCCCCCACCTTCAGCAGTCCTTCCCAACCCCCCAGGAGAAAGAAGCTGGAGCGCAGAGCCCTGCCCTGTGGTACCTGTGAAAGGCATCTGCCGAGAGGTCCTGTCCGCCATGAGACAAGAGCTGGTCATTCTCCAGGAGGCTTTTCCACTTGGAGATTATCTCGGTGCCATAAGTGCAGTCCTGAGGAGAAAGGCAGAGCAGCTGAGGGGCAGCCGGCTCTCCAGCCCTCCCTGCCCACTGGACCAACTCATCAAGCAAGGGTAAGCCCAACCAAGAGGCAGGGATAGGTTGATTTTCCCAACAACTCACTTTGAGGGGATCCCACTCCTTGAAGTACTCCTTCATGAGTGGATAGACGATGGCCACGGCGAGGTCCACACGGTCGGACATCCTGTACTCCTCATAGTACTTGTCCTGCAGGGTTTCGAAGATGCGGGCACACTCATCCAGGGTGAGGGGGTTGCTACAGTCGGGCTGCATCCGCCGCTCGCATTCCTCCACCATCTCCAGGACCTTGCTGAGGTTGGAGATGACCCGCTCCTCATGGTCCAGGACCTCGGTCATCTTCTCCAGCTCGTGGAAGAGGTTGACCACCATGTCCCGCTCATACTGTAGCTGCCGGTCATTCTGGATGATCTCCTGCTCCGTGAGGTCAATGAGCAGCTGCAGGTTGTGCTCCAGCTCGGGCAGCGCAAAGCCCGGGGCCTTGGCCTCTTTGCCAGACTGTGGCAGCTGTTGGGACTGCAGCGGCAGCCCATCATCGGGAACGTTGTGTTTGTGGCTGATCTGACTGTAGCTGTAGTAGACCTTTTGCTCCCGGCCTGTCATGTCTATGACCTTGGAAAACGTAGAGGGACGAAGGTTAACACCACTGCGGCACTGTTAAACACACAGCTAAGCCCAGGGGAAGGCCCCATGACAGGGAAGTGTGTAGAAACCACATTATTCAACAGAGCTGGAGAAGGGCAGTGTTGTAAAGTGGGATCCGCACTGTCCTAGCCTAAAGGAGACTCCAGGGACAAAATCAGATGCAGCAAGCAGTTCTAGGTTGGATCACTTTGAGCAAGCCAGATGGAGAAGACTTTTTAGGGAAACGTGAAATTTAAATAGGGACTGAGTATTAGTAGATGTGAAAATTTATTTTAGTGGAAAGGTAGAAGCTGTACTGATCAAAGAAGGTAACACAATCAAAATATCACATTTTGATTAAAAAAATGCACATAAGCATAGAAAAAGATCTAGGATGTATAACAAGATGTTAACATTTGGTAATCTTGGAAGGATGGAAAATATTTCCTATATTTCTCCCTATTTCCTAACTTTCTAAAATGTACTACACACTGCTATTATAATAACAGTTGTTTTTTTAATTTAATTTTTTAAACTTTTTTATTTTTTGAGATGCAGTCTTGCTCTGGTGCCCAGGCTGGAGTGCAGTGGCACAATCTCAGCTCACTGCAAGCACCGCCTCCCAGGTTCATGCCATTCTCCTGCCTCAGCCTCCCGAATAGCTGGGACCACAGGCGCCTGCCACCACGCCCGGCTAATTTTTTGTATTTTTAGTAGAGACGGGGTTTCACCGTGTTAGCCAGGAAGGTCTCGATCTCCTGACCTCCTGATCCACCCGCCTCGGCCTCCCAAAGTGCTGGGATTACAGGCATGAGCCACCGCACCCAGGCTTTTAATTTTAAAACAAAATAAGGCCGGACGCGGTGGCTCACGCCTGTAATCCCAGCACTTTGGGAGGCCGAGGCAGGCGGATCACGAGGTCAGGAGATCGAGACCATCCTGGCTAACACGGTGAAACCTCGTCTCTACTAAAAAATACAAAAAAAACTTAGCCCGGCACGGTGCCTGGCTAACACGGTGAAACCTCGTCTCTACTAAAAAATACAAAAAAACTTAGCCCGGCACGGTGGCGGGTGCCTGTGGTCCCAGCTACTGAGGAGGCTGAGGCAGGAGAATGGCGTGAACCCGGGAGGCGGAGCTTGCAGTGAGCTGAGATCGAGCCACTGCACTCCAGCCTGGGCCACAGAGCCAGACTTGGCCTCAAAAAAAAAAAAAAAAAACAAACAAAAACAAAATAAAACATACAAAAGGCTAATTGAACAAAGGCAACCTAGGCAATGAGCTAATTCCAATATTTTAGGAAAACAGGAAATGTGAATATGGACTGCACTTCTGAAGCAGAATGATTCATCACCACTTTTTAAGTAAGTGTGTGATCCATGAACCACCAGCATTGGAATCACTGGAGGAGAAGAAAAAAAAAAAGAGTCTTGAGGTTCAGTTTAGACTCAAAATTCCTGGGAGGCACCTAGACACCCGTATTTCTTATCAGGTCGTCCAGATAATATAACAGCACACGTTTGAGAACCCCACTAAAGGCTTTGAGGTCTATGACACACTATAAATCCTACAGCAAATGACAACAGGCAACTGTCACCATTGTTCTTTGACTACTTGGAAAAGTAATGGAAAACGTCATACACTATATGCACGTAACAGTGAGTGAAAATTTAACGTATCTTAAAAAAAGAAAATACTCAATGCTGACTAAGGAGCCCTGGGAACTCTCTCCTGCCCTCCTGGTCAGACAGAGTTAATACAACCTTCTGAGTATTTGAATGCCTTAAGTACTTTTGTATTTAACGTGGTGATTGCACATGTACATGTCTATCCTTAAAAAAATGTCTCAAACAAAGACAAAGTTTTATATACAAACTAACCAGTCAAAAATCCAAACTAAACCAGATAAAAGCTAAATGCCTAACAACGGAGGTAGGATCAAGCAATATAGTACAGCCACCCTCTGGAATTCTGCACTCATTATAAATCTTCACAGTGAGTTTTTAATAAGAATGTTACTGAATTCACTGATGTAAGCTCCAGAAACACAGGAACATCATTTGGTTTACCAGTGTAGTGCCGTGAAGAGTGCCTGGCAGAGAAGGAACTTGGTAACTATTACTAAATATGGGAGTGTAATGAATAGGAACATGATATTAATAGTATTCATTACACTCCCATAAAATAAGTGAGAAAAGCAAGGTACAAAAAAAAAAAAAAAAAAAAAAAAAGCCTAGTTAGAAGATCCAAAAAACCCTAGAACATGTTCAGTGATTAATTCTGGGGTGTGGCTCCTGTACCAGGTGTCCAAAGGCCCCCATACCTTGACTTGAGAAAGCTCCTTCTGGGGAGCAGTGAGCTTCTTGCTAATCCTGCCCTTGGCCTTCAACTCTTCCACGGTCTTGTAAGAGTATTTGGGCTTCTTCTTGCTTCCACTTGGGTCTTTCCTCCACTGGCTCAGCTCCTTCTGAAACTCCTGAACCAGAAGGATACAGTCAGATGCAGCAAACCACTTTTTACAACAGGTGAGACAGCTAAGACCATTAACAGATGTCACCATTCACTGTCTTAGATTTATTTCCAGGTTCTATATGAAGGAAGGAAAGGATGCACCTGCATGACACCAAAACTATCTAATGATAACTCCTTGACCCCATTTACCCTCTTACAAATAATGAGGTTCAGAAGGCAGGTCCACCAGACGGGAGGGAGAAACAAAAATAAAGGAAACAACATGTATTGAGCATCTACTATGGGCAGGCACTACACTAGTTTAAATGTACCTCATGTAAAACTTAGAAATGCAATGTAAAGGATTTTTTAAGTACACAAAATCTTGTTTCTCACTTTAAAATGAAGATAAATAAGCAGGTCCTAACTCTCAAAGCAAAGGTATCTCTTATAATCAGGGTCTGCAAAATGTACCTGCCGTAGCTACAGGAGGAGCTACGGCAAGCTTGTCCAACCCGCAGCCCAGGACGACTTTGAATGCGGCCCAACGCAAATTTGTAAACTTTCTTAGCGTGATGGTAGTAGAATCCAGCCCACAGAAGTTGGTTTTGGAGTTGTCATTATGTTTTTCTCATACTGGTTAAGACTTGTCATTTTTTTCTCTAAAAGTATCTACACATCTGGCTACTTTGGGAAAATCAGAGTATCAGGCAATACTAAGCCCACATCCTCATAAGCAACAATCACCTAGAGCTGAATAAAGATTTACGTTCTAGACAGGCTAAGGCCTCACCTCTGTAACGCAGTCCCCACCCCTCTTTATTGTCTAGCACCTGGCTCATCTTACTTGCTTCTGTGGTGTGCCTGGCACCTGTAGGCTTCTAAGTCTGAGAACCCCTGACTCAGAGTGGTCAATCCCACATTATCAAATGACTGTGTCATCAAAAGGTCAGTGACAAGAGTAACGTGTTTCTTTGCAGCATCCTGCTTTCCCCCATAAATTCAAATGGGAAAAGAGTAATACTTCAATCAACAGAGCTGGCCCCTTCTATCACTGGGGAAAAGGGACACACAGCTGCCAGCAGATGGCTCCCTGCTGCACTTGGGATGAAACCCAAGCACCTAAAAATGGCTGTCAAGGCCCATCTTGTGGCCCGCCCACCCCTCTGAATGCACTTCCTTCCCCTCTGCTTTGTGTACCACCCTCCCACCACAACGGCTTCCTTTATGGTTTCTTAACCAGCAAGCTCAGAGCCTCTCAGTGTCCTCAGGCTTCTCAGCTCACCCTTCTGCCAAGTCTCAACTGAAATGTTTCCTTTCCTCAAAGGTTTCCCTGACCAGCCTATTTATAAAAGTAGGTCAACACCACCTCCCAGCCCCCAACCTTATTTTCTGTCTAGGCAGGTCCTAGCACCTTCTGCCATTTCAACTGCCACTTCCACACCATAGCTGCTTGTTTACTCTCTGTCCACCCCGCGCCCTCTCATCATGGTGCACCTAGCCTTCAGCCCAGCACCTGGCATATGGTACGTGTACAATAAACATCTGAGGACTAGTAGAATGAAGGGATAAATGAACAGCCATTAGAAATGGACAGGACACCACCCACCCATGTCTCCTGACTTCCAGTTACCTCTTCAGCTTCTTCCTCTGAGTCAACCACAGGGAAGTCTTGCATTGACTGCGTGGTGCGCTCGGATCCATAAGCCCCCACAGCACCTTTTCCCTTTCTCTGCTTGGCTTCGATTGGGTTAATGATACCTGAGGAATTTCAGCAAAAGATAAAGAGAGTCTTATGATAACAGCAATTCATGTATGTGAATCAGCCACTCAGTGAAATGACAGTTTCTTGCTCCTTCCACAAAATAACACGCTACTCAAGGAGAGCTATTCTCTGCCCTCAGAACGCTACTCTTGTCCCTTGTGATCTGAAACTTATGAGCATTTATGCTACCACAGAACAGTCTGCTGACTGGTTTATTTATATCCCAAATAGATTTCCATTTCTACTTGGATTGTTTCAGTGGACAAGAAGAGAACAGAACACTACATTTATAACCGAGAACTCCAGTATACTAAATTCTACACTTCACTTCTTTGGAAGCCTCTATTAGGGAAAATGCAATAATTCAGATACTATATTGATTCTGACTGAAGTGAAGCTGTAATTTAATATAAGACTCCTCATGTATTTTACTTAGGAGTTCCTATCTCCTATGTTTAACTTTTTTATAACAAGTTTAAGCCCTAGAAATAAATGTTGCTTTTCCCATAAAAGAGTTTACAAATAGGACCACAACATTTCAATGAAGATGTTGCCCCCCCTCCAAATTTCCCATCCCTGCCTCCCTTCCGTTTAGTACAGCTAAAGTCTCAAATAAGAGCTATCCCTGGGCCAGGCATGGTGGCTGATGCTTGTAATCCTAGCACTTTGGGAGGCCAAGGTCTTGAACCAGCCTGGGCAACATAGTAAGACCCCATCTACAAAAAAAGAAAAAATTAGCCAGGCATAGCAGAGTGTGCCTGTGGTCCCAGCTACTCGGCAGGCTTGAGCCCAGGAGGTTGAGACTGCAGTAGGCTATGATCATGCCATGCCACTGCACTCCACCCTAGGTAACAGAGACCTTGTATCAAAAAAAGGAAAAAAGCTGTCCCCTCATTCTCATTCAGCGTATCCTTGCTTAAGTTCATGTATTTTTCATGTACCTAATGTTTTCAACACATAACCTGGATTTCACTTTAATAATTATTTAGAGGCCGGGCGCAGTGGCTCACACCTATAATCCCAGCACTTTGGGAGGCCAAGGAGGGTGGACCACTTGAGGTCAGGAGTTCGAGACCAGCCTGGCCAACATGGTAAAACCCCGTCTCTACCAAAAATACAAAAATTAGCTGGGTGTGGTGGTGGCTGCCTGTAATCCCTGCTACTCGGGAGGCTGAGGCAGGAAAATCGCTTGAACCAGGAGGCGGCGGTTGCAGGTGAGTCAAGATCGTGCCATAGAACTCCAGTCTGAGCGACAAGAGTGAAACTGTGTCTCAAAAAATAATATTATTATTATTTAGAGACTCAAATTTGAATATGGAGGACACATTTGATTATATCTACTTGGCAATCATGCATAGGAAATAGCTCAAGAAGAAGGGGAAATGTTCCTGTAGGAAGAATCCAACTGTTTGGTTTGAGAGGCTTTGGTCTCAAGAAGATAAGAGTGTGACAGGGGCTGTGTCTCAGTGAGGCTGGCCATGAGAAGACAGGAGGAGACGGGGCTACTAGACGAAGATGGAAGTAACCAATGAAGGATTTGCTCAGCCAATTTTACAGCCATATGGCTCTAATTATTAAAAAAGCTACACACAATGTTTTACTGATATTCCTGAAGGACAAATAACCATTTCTGCAAAACTAAAACCCTTGTGAGTAGGGATGGCAAACTCAAATGACTTCGGGACCAAGAAAAGTTCCTGTGGGTTGGGGTGGAAGACAACAGGGGGCCGTGGAGACTGCCTCCAAGAGAAGACCATGTCCATTGTCCCAGGAGCAGCTCTCACTTGCCTCAACTAACTACTGCCAGGCAAAATCTAGAATTTTAGGTGAAATTGTCTATTTTTTAAATATTAGCAACTAATTCATTTTTGTCTTTATTTATTCTATCTATTTATTTATTTATTTATTTATTTAGAGACTGAGTCTCACTCTATTGCCCAGGCTGGAGTGCAGTGGTGTGATCTCGGCTCACCGCAACCCCCACCTCCTGGGTTCAAGCGATTCTCCTGCCTCAGCCTCCTGAGTAGCTGGTCAGGACCAGGAAAAAAGCCTGTCTCCAACCTGTTTGCAGCCTATTTTACACCCTAACCCTTTTCTTCTTGTTGAAACAATTACTTATTTAACTTGAGCTTTGATAAAGCAAGGTAGCTTAGGAGTGCAAATGTCTTGTGCTGGCAAACCAGGCTAGAGAGAGAAAGTGCTTTTAAAAGGGAAAAGCAAACCTCCTCTCCCAATGCCCCTCTCCTTCCCTCTGCCTGCCCTCCATCACGCAAGACGACAAAAGTGCAATACCTTGTGCATTCTTCCCGAGGCCCCGTCCAGGGACGTAGCCCATCTTCTGAAGAAGCTTCTGTCCAATTCCTTTTGTGTGTCTTTCCCAGCTGCCGAAGTCCATGAAAGATTTGGTTCCTCCTGCAAAACCTTTCTGGCTGGGCTTAAAATTGCCACCCTGCAAAGAAGAAAAATCAAAGCTTAGTTAATGGAAAAACAAAAAGAAGAAAAATCTAAGAAAGCTTGGCCAACAGGAAAATGGTCTAAGTTACACAGCACTATGAAAAGGGTCACAAGAACCAAAAATGTGTGTGATACGTGTCAGGAAGGAAGAGACTACACTACGCACTTCACAACTCACAGAAGTCTGCCACCAAAAGGAGATACTCACAAAACGCATTCCAGATAAGTTTCTCCCTGGCTAGAAAATGCTTGGGCCACAATGACATTTGAAGGATATTACTGGAGTCACAATCCTGCAATAAAGACTCTACCGTTTTTAACTTCCTTGGTCCAAAATCCTTAGGAAAGTCGTCCTGCTTAACAGGTCTCTCTTCATCATCAGAATCTTCCAACTCTGCCTCCTCCGCTGCCCCTTTCTTGAGTCCTGCACTGATGAAGTTGACCGGCGCAGAGTAGTCACGGGCCCTGCAGGCACAGAAACAAAGCCCCATGGGGTCGGTAAATAACTCTTTTCTCTGCAGCAATCCCTTTGCAGAAACTACGTGCTTGAAAACTCCTCAGAATGAACTTCATGGAAGGTTTTTTAAAAAAGTAACACATTTTTTAATGTGTCAAAATATCTAAAGGACCCCAGATTTGGCTTCCTGTCGTCACATTTAACATTTTATCTGACATATTCCTCTATGGCTGAAGAGTTATCACATCAGTATAGCGTTGATTATAAATCCAAAATATGATGTGATAATACAGTTTTCCTACATTTAAAAAAATTAATTTATCATAAAAAGCATTTGTTTTGAAAACTATTGCAAGTACAAAAATCCAACAGGAGCAGAGAGAAATTTTGATGGATAATCATAAATAAATAAAACCCACTGAAAGATTATACGAACATAAAGCATATAATAATTATATTAATCAAACTCAGAAAAAGCTCCTATCCATTAAATGTATTGAATGTGAAAATTTCCAGCCAGGGCAACATACTAAGACTTTGTCTCTATAAAAAAATAAATAAAAATTAGCCAGGCATGGTTGTGCAAGCCTTTGGTCCCAACTACATGGGAAGCTGAGATGGGAGGATTGCTTGAGCCCAGGAAGTTGAAGCTGCAGTGAGCTATAATCATGTCACTGTGCCCCAGCCTGGGCAAAAGAGTAAGACTGTGTCTCAAAAGAAAAGAAAAAAATAAAATTACACTGAAGTCCCTTAAGAAATAATAAATTAACTCTGTAAAATGAAATATATTGATTTAAACTCTGACTGCTTCAAGCATTTACATTAAGCCATTAACCTCAGGTCCTTTTTGTATAAAATAAAATTGATATATTTGTACTGTGTGGTTTAAAAAAGAAAAAATTACAATAAAAAACCCTGGAGCTGGGTACAGTGGCTCACGCCTGGAATCTCAGCACTTCGGGAGGCTTGAGGCCAGGAGTTCAAGACCGGCCTGGCCAACATGGCAAAATCCCATCTCCAATAAAAATACAAAAAATTAGCTGGGTGTAATTAAAAAATTAGCGCACGCCTGTAATCCCAAGCTACTCGGGAGGCTGAGGCACGAGAAACACTTGAACCCAGGACACAAAGGTTGCAGTGAGCTGAGGTCATGCCACTGTATACTCCAGCTTGGGTGACAGAGACTGTGTTTTGAAGAAAAAAAAAAAACAAACCTGGGAATACAGCAAATAAAGTGATGTCTTGTAAAATGACCAACCTAGTAATTCAACAGCCTCATGGCAACAACAGAATTTAGGGACTTTATTCCTAAAAATGTAACATAACTTAGTGATTCAGATCCCAAACTCTAGAGTCAGATAGGTCCAGGTTCCAATTCTAGCTTAGCCTCTGCCTAGCTGTATGACCATTAGCCTCAGTCACTTAATCTGTAAAATGGGAATAATAATGGTACCTTTCTCATAAGGAAAATTAATCCAGGCTTGTGAAATAGCCAGAACAAGTAAGCAGCCAAGAGATGTTAGCTATTATTATTATGATTATGCAATTTTTGATCCCTGATCTATTTGTCATACACTTTCAGACACCCTTGTGGATGAGAAGTTTGAACTAATCTCTATATTCTTTCTCCCCCAGCCTCCTTTGAAAAAGGCACATTCTCAGCTGGGTGTGGTGGCTCAGGCCTGTAATCCCAGCACTTTCGGAGGCCGAGGCAGGTGATCATGAAGTCAAGAGATCGAGACCATCCTGGCCAACATGGTGAAACCCCGTCTCTACTAAAAATACAAAAATTAGCTGGGCGTGATGGCAGGCACCTGTAGTCCCAGCTACTCAGGAGGCTGAGGCAGAAGAATCGCTTGAACCCAGGAGGCAAAGGTTGCAGTGAGCCAAGATCGCACCACTGTACACCAGCCTGGCGAAAGAGCGAGACTCCATCTCAAAAAAAAAAAAAAAAAGAAAAAGAAAAAGGCACACTCTCAATAGGATGGAGCCTAGAGGCCACAGGGGGGACCATTCATCGGAGGAAAAAACCCCCAACCTGGCACACCCTGGTCGAGTGATGTTCAGCCAGGGCACATATAACCTCGTGCTGGGGAGGAGACACGCAGTCTGAATCCACATCGCCCACCACTATCCTAGACCAGTACCTCCACTACTCCACTACCTGTGCAGGGACCACTGGCTTGGCCTCCTCAGTCTTCCACTGTGGCTCCATGCCTATTGAGCACACCAGCAAAAGGGTCTTCTCAAAACATAACCCAGCCCCACATCACACCCTCTCTATCACACACACTATGCTACCCTTCCCCCTCTCTGCTCCAGCCCCTAAGCCTTTCATGTCCTTGTGGATACCATGATGCTTCCCATCAAAGGCCTTTGCATATTAAGACCTCTTCTACCACCCTAGTTACCTTCTACTGTCAGTCATATCAGCTTGCTTAAGCGTCAATTTTCTCCATAGAAATCTTCCTTGACCTCTCAGAATAGGTGAAATGCCCTAAAATGTATTCTCCCTCATGTCCTCATGTCCCTCGTGTCCTATATCACAGTTACAAGTTTCAAATGCCTATTTCCATCTTCTAGAGTCTGGGCTCCAGGAAGGCAAGAATGGGTCTACAGCACAGGCCTAATACATAGTAATCACTCAATAAACACTGATAATTAAATCAGTGAGGCCAGGCATGGTGGCTCACGCCTGTAATCCCAGCACTTTGGGAGACTGAGGCGGGGGGTCACTTGAGGTCAGCAGTTCAAGACCAGCCTGGCCAACGAGGCAAAACCCCGTCTCTACTAATAATACAAAGATTAGCTGGAGGTGGTTGCGTGTGCCAATAATTCCAGCTACTCAGGAGGCTGAGGCATGAGAATCACTTGAATCCGGAAGGTGGAGGTTGCAGCGAGCCAAGATTATGTCACTGCACTCCAGCCTGGGCAACAGAGTGAAAGTGTCTCATATAAATAAATAAATAGATAGAATAAAATAAAATAAATAAATAAGTGAAAGAGCAGCACTCTAGCCTAAAGACGAAACCAGACCTCTCGAGATGATGTCACAGCTAATGGTCTCAACAAGGCCAGGAGACAAGTATACTTATCAGGGTATTCTCCTCCACTCCCTGCCCATCTTCCCCCTCTTCCCTAAAGCAAGGTGAAGCAGCCCCTGTGCCAGGTAGTACCGTTTGCCTCCAAAGCTGGGCCTCTCATCATCCGAGTCTCGCTCTGCCCACACCCCGTAGGTGGCTTCTTCCTTGGTCTGCCAGTGGCGCTGTCGGTTGGGGTTGAACTCATTCTGGAGATCCCAGTCAGTGATCTCAAAGTTTTCCCGCTCGTCATCATCATCATCAATGCGGCCTTCCCCATCCCGGTACAAGTGGGACAATGACATGGCCAGTCACTAAAGGAAGAGACAAAAAGGGCACAGGCTATAAGTTCTGGGGGCAGCAGTAGGAGGATTCCTTGTCTCTACTCCTTGCTGCTTTCAGAACTTTCTCTGAATTCAAAGTCCATTAAAATCAGCATTACTATTCAATAAAGAAAATATTAAAAACCTATTTTTAGAAAACAATCAGTACTAAAACAGGTGAACAAAATACTAGTCCCAACCGTCTATGATTCTTTAAAAGTATATATTTCTTTGTCCTAGCCAATATCATAAATATCACACATATTCACACATACACAAACCACACAAAAATAATTAAGTAGGTTATTTTGTACACTATTGTCTTAGAAAATGAGTGGATATCTTCTTAGATCCCAGATTCTTTTTCTATTACTGAGGAAAAAATTATATCTGGATCCTTGGTGGTCCTAGGAGTGATTTTTTTAGAACATGCTTTTTGAAATACATTACTTGATGAAACAACATTTTCAGTTATCCTCACATGAATTTCTTCTGATGAGCTGAGAGACTGTAGTAATTATGAACACTATTTTAATAGTCAGATGGCCAGGGATTGATATAGAGAATCTACCTCATGGTAGCTGGGTGACCAGATTCAGTTGTATTTCTTAAATTGGGATAAACTACTATACCAACCTTAGAGAATGCTTATAAGGCAAATTCAATGAGTTCAAAATAAGTGCTCAAGAAACGACAGCTTCTACTTTAGTCCCATGATTAGGTTAATCATTGTATTAGGGTTTTCTAGAGGAAGAGAACTAATGGAATAGACATATATATATAAAGGGGAGCTTATTAAGTATTAACTCACACTATCACAAAGTGTCACAATAGGCTGTCTGCAGGCTGAGGAGCAAGGAGAGCCAGTCAAGTTCCAAAGCTGAAGAACTTGGAGTCTAATGTTGGAAGGCAGGAAGCATCCAACACGGAGAAAGATGTAGGTTGGGAGGCTAGGCCAGTCTCTCCTTTCACATTTTTCTGCCTGCTTATATTCTTGCCGTGCTGGCAGCTGATTAGATTATGCCCACACAGATTGAGGGTGGGTCTGCCTTTCCCCATCCACGGACTCAAATGTTAATCTCCTTTGGCAACACCCACATAGTCACACCCAGGATCAATACTTCCTATCCTTTAATCCAATCAAGTTGACACTCAGTATTAACCATCACAATCATCATTACTATTATGGCACTAGGGAGTAAACTTAGCAAAGTGATTCTAAAATCTGGCACGCTAAAATCGAAGCCTGAGTTCAAATTAAATGCACGCGAAGCGCCAAGCATGGTGCACTACACAATAATACATTAAACAGGTGAGAGCAATTGTGATTCTCGTCTTGCTGAAAGCGGCCTTAAGGCACACGGAGTTCACTACTTCCACAGGCAGTGTCCAACTCTGGTCACCTCTGGCAAAACGTTATCTCTGCCCTCTTCTACTCACTGGTGCACTGTTTGGATGCAGCTGGTCCCAACCTCTTCCAGGAGTGTTTAGGACAGAAGGGTTTTCAGAAAAGGTGGGGACTCTCAAATACATAAGGTTAAATAATACCACTGCCTCCGTGGGCATAGTAGGTGGTAATAAGCCCTGAGTGAGTAGTCACAAGTTATGAAGCCCTCATCAGTAGATGCTAGGTACATGCCGGTCGCTTGAGACCGATTATCAACTGTCCGCATCAAGATACTTCTGCAAAGTAGGTACCGTTAGTTTTCATGCTTCAGATAAGAAAAAGGAGATTCAGAGAAGTTAGTCACTTACCCTAGGTTCCACTGCTCATAGGGCTCAAACTCAGGAGAGCTAGAAGTCAGGCCTCGGGCTTGTCTCTGTCCTGCTGTCTACGTTTGGCGAAGGAGGCTCAGGTTCTTAACTGAACCCAAGCCCTAAACCCCAGTAGACCCCAAGCAGCACCGCCCCTCTCCGTGCCTCGGCAGAGCTGTCTACGAAATGGAGTCCCCTCCCCACACCCCAACGGCTAGGACCGCAGCTCGCCTTCCCCGAACCTTCGCCCCTACTCCCACTGGCGCTGAGTCCCCTCGTAGCCAGCCTTGCTCACCTCTCCGAGGGTCCAGCGTACCAAAACTCAGCTTCACAATCCGCGCGAGAAGACCGCCGCTCCTACGCCAGAACCCGGATGCATCGTGGCTGGCGCGCCGGAAATGACGTTAGTCGACAGCGGATGTCCTACTGGCTGCCGCGGTAGCGTGGAACGCTACGGCGGGTATGGCTGTAGAGCGGCCGGCTGGGATCTTAGAAAGAAGGGGTGGATTTGCAAGGTCCAGAATGGCTGGGGAGTGGTTTTCCCGCGGAGTCGGCTTCGCTGCCGCGCCTGCTTTGTAGTCCGACGCTCAGCCTGTGATGACTGATGTGGAATCCGCTGAGCCACCTTGGCCTAAGGAGACTTTGCCACTCTGAGAGTGTAAATCTGTAAAATAGAGATGTAGGATTAGCCCACAGGGTAGTTGTGGTAAATACTGTGAGACAATAAGGGGCCTGGGACACAACATTCAAATGGGAATAATGAAGGTCAAGACTGTGACTCCTGTGGCTCTGACGCTCTCGTGGGCACAGGGCAGTGGCCTTTATGAAGGAGTTTAAGAGGGAATGAAGGAATGAATGGGCAAACTCTAGAGTTCCCAAGTATTCTCTCCAGGAGATGTTTCCATTCTCTTCGTTTCCAGCAGGCTGGTAAATTCATTCATGTATTCACTGATCGAATTAAAATATAGTGAGTGCCCCTCACCTGTGCTGCTAGGCCAATGTGATACAATGAGCAGAACAGTCATGGGCCCTCCCTGGGAAGCCCTCACTAGCCCAGGGACTCCGTGTAGACATTTAAGTGTCCACAGGTTCTGGAGTTCCAACCTTGACTCTGCAATTTAGCAGCTGTGGACCTTGGGCAAGTCATTACGTCTAAGCCTGTTTTCTCTTCGGCAAAATGGTTAAGGATTCAATAAGATAAAACTGTAGGCAATGAAAATCGTACCTGGTAACAGTAGGTGCTCAAAAAGTGTTAGCTGTTAATTTTTGCTTAATTTTTCTCTCTCTGCTCTCTGTGATGAAAAGATCCACGAGGCAATTGTTGGAATGTAAAAAGAGCACGGGACTTGGAGTCATATACTTAAGTCTACCGTCAAGTAGTTGTTAAGAATTAAAACAACAATTTTTGTGTACCCGGTTAAATGTGGGCTGCTTAGGAATGGTGTCTATGTCTTAATGATCTCTGTATTCCTAGTGACATGTAGAATCATTGTGCCTGACACATAGTATATACTCAGGAAAGAAACAGAAAAAGAAAGAAATGTGGTTTTAGCATTTAAGGCCAGGAGAGAGGGTCTAACAGACTACAAGGCCCGCCAGGAGCAGAGTAAGGGAAACAAAGGGGGAAAAAGTGTTTTTAGCCTGTGCCTGAATGTATATAATCTGTTTGTGGCTCAAAAGTCAAAAGCATACATAAGCTTGGCTTTTCTGTAGCTATGTTTATGGTTTTACAGCAGATTTTATGGAGCTGCAATTACTTTGATCATGAGGGACTGATGCTAGTGGATTTATGTCACCAAGTGGAACTCACTCTGTGGCTTCTGAAGAAGGGAACTTTGTGGACTTTCATGGGGTAGTTAAGAGTGCAGGCTCTGATTTAGTGATCAGAGTCATGAGGTAATCATGAGGTGGATGTAATCATGAGGATACATTAGACAAACCCGCATAAAGAGACATGCTTTATACAAAACTGTAGTCTTAGAAAGTGCCAAGGTCAAGTGATTCTCATGCCTCAGCCTCCTGAGTAGCTGGCATTACAGGCGCAACTGTAGTAATTCTTATGCCTCAGCCTCCTGAGTAGCTGGCATTACAGGCGCAGCTGTAGTGATTCTCATGCTTCAGCCTCACGAGTAGCTGGCATTACAGGTGCAGCTGTAGTGATTCTCATGCCTTGCCTCAGCCTCTCGAGTAGCTGGCATTATGCCACCACAGTCAGCTAATTTTTGTTTTTTTTTTTGTTTTATTTTTCCCCCCCCCCCCCCCCCCCCGAGTCTCACTGTGTCACCCAGGCTGGAGTGCAGTGGCATGATCTCAGCTCACTGCAACATATGCCTCCTGGGTTCAAGCAATTCTCTTGCCTCAGCCTCCCGAGTAGCTAGAATTACAGGTGTGCACCACCATGCCTTGCTACTTTTTGTATTTTTATTAGAGATGGGTTTTCAACATGTTGGCCAGGCTGGTTTCGAACTCCTGACCTCGTGATCCGTCTGCCTTGGCCTCCCAAAGTGCTGGGATTACAGGCGTGAGCCACTGCGCCAGCCTTCATTTTTAAAAACCCAATGTCATACCCCTTTCAGTCTCAAAAATTCATGGTTTTTCAGGATTTCTGGGATCAAATGCCCACACTTTGAAAAACAAGGAAAAGTTTTACAAGGCAGCCGGAGCTTTAGGTTCAAGGTCTCATATCTATCGTGATCCCATGTCATTTCCCAGGGGGGAAAAACAAAAACATTGCTTTGAGATTTGGGAACATCCACACTCATTTCTGCATTCCCAATGAGGTGCTTAGACATGTGGCCTTCGCAGAAGGGGTTACCAAGCAACAAGGCTCCTTGGGCAGGAGGAGTCTGGCAGGGCTCTACAACACTCATGGGTCTATACCTCTCCTTTCACAGCTGAGGCGGTGGGGGAGGCCCTGGCAGAGGGGAGGTGCCAGCACCACACAGTGAGTTTAAGGACAGGGCCAGGCCTGCAACCCAGGAGCTCAAACACCCAGGCAGGTGCTTTCTTTGCAAAAGCATGCATAGGGTCGCACATCATGATTCCTGTGTGTTCAGGGCCACAGAGCCAAACTCTTCAGACATCATCGCTTTGATTCATCAACCTTGTAAGGTAGTTTGTTATAACCCCAGAGTCCACATTCCTAACCTCTTATTTCTACAGCCTATGCCATACAGCACACTTTCCATATTGCCTACAAAAGATTTGGGGAAAAAAATCCTCGCTCAGTTATGACTTTAAATAGGTTGGTACCATAGAAACAATCCATAAGTGGCATTTCAAAGCTGATATATTTAAAGACTAGCACATGTACTTTTTCTAGGACAGTGACATTATACAGTTGCACATGGCTTATTCTTATTTTGCATCTTGTCCCAAAATATATATATGGTGTCCTGAACTTGGCAGAATTGAGAACCCAGATCAGCTGAGATTAGCAATTTGGTTTCCCTCTAAATGTTTCTTACAGATGGTTTCTACCCTATTTATCTTTCAAGAATTCGTGAAGACTATCCTTATATAGAAAGCTGGAACATGAGGTTCCATAGGCTTGGGGTGTTATCTGTAAATCACATATCCGCAAAACACAGTAAGGGGAGAAACCACAGCCTTCATCATTCATTTATTCATTTAGTCATGAACAAATATTTAATGAGTACCTATGTGTTATCTATTGCAGTGTAACAGTTACCTCTAAACATAGCGGCTTGCGACACCCGTAAACATTATCTCACATAATCTCTTTTGGTAGGAGTTTGAGAGTGGTTTAGCTGGGTGGTTCTGACTCAGGGTCGTTCATGGGGTTGCAGTCATCTGAAGGCTTGACCAGGGCTCGATGACTAACTTCCAAGGTGCTTCTCTCACATAGCTGGCAAACTGGTGCTGGTTGTTGGCAGGTTTCAGTTTCTTGCCATGTGAGCCTCTACGTATGGCTACCAAGTGTCCTTATGACATAGTGGCTAGCTTCCCTCAAAATAAGCAAAGCAAGAGAGAACAAGGCAGAAGCCACAGGGTCTTTTATGGCCTAGTTTTGGAGTCACACTGTCATTTCTGCATTTTTTTTTTTTAATTTTATTTTTTTTTAGACTGAGTTTTGCTTTGTCACCAAGGCTGGAATGATCTCGGCTCACTGCAACTTCTGCCCCCCAGGTTCAGGCAATTCTCCTGTCTCAGCCTCCTGAGTAGCTGGGACTACAGGCACCCGCCACTTTATTAGAGACGGGGTTTCACCATATTGGTCAGGCTGGTCTCGAACTCCTGACCTCAGGCGATCCACCTGCCTCAGCCTCCCAAAGTGCTGGGATCACAGGCATGGGGCATCACGCCTGGCCCATTTCTTTTTTTTTTTTTTCAGATGGAGTCTCGCTTTGTCACTGGGCTGGAGTGCAGTGGCACAATCTCAGCTCACTGCAACCTCTACCTCCCGGGTTCAAGCAATTCTCATGTCTCAGCCTCCCGAGTAGCTGGGACTACAGGTGTGCGTCACCATGCCCAGCTAATTTTTATATTTTTAGTAGAGATGGGGTCTCACCATGTTGGCCAGGATGGTCTCGATCTCTTGACCTCATGATCCACCCGCCTCGGCCTCCCAAAGTACTGGGATTACAGGCGTGAGCCACTGCACCCGGCTGCGCCTGGCCCATTTTTAGAATATCTTACTGGTTACACATCCAGCCCTATATAGGGTTGCCAGATGTAGTAAATAAAAATATAGGATGCCCAATTAAACTTGAAGTTTAGATAAAACAATGAATAATAGTATATGTATGTATCATAAAATATTGCAAAATACGAAAAAATTATCTGAAATTCAAATTTAACCACCATCCTGTATTTAATCTGGAACCCTAACCCTATTCAGTGCACAAAGTTTTGAAAAACATGCCAAAGTGGGTGTGAATGCCAGGAGGCCAGGTTCACTGGGAGCCATCTTGGAAGCTGGCTTCTACAACCTTAACATGCTGGGCATGGTAGACTCGGAATAAATGGTAAACAATGAAAAATAATGATTCTTGCACTCATGCAGTTTGTAGCCTGTTGAATAAAATCAACTTGAATCAACCCAGCAGGAAAATAAATACAAAACCTTAACTATGATAAAAGTACTTTAGAGAGAAATAGCTGATGCTTGGGACAGGGATGGGGTCCTCATCAAAATGGCCCTTTTTTTTTTTTTTTTTTTTTTTTTTTGGTGCAGGGATGGGGTCCTCATTAAAGTACCCACTTCTTTCCTGGGGAAGAGGGGGAACAGGGTCTTTGCTCTGTCTTCCAGGCTGGAGTGCAGTGGCATAATCATAGCTCACTGCAGCCTCAACCTCCTAGGCTCAAGTAATCCTCCTGCTTCAGTCTTTCAAGTAGTTTGGGCTACAGGCTACAGTAGCCAGACTCAGCTAATTTTTTAAGATCGTTT